ATATATATAGTCATATATATATATGACTCCTAACATATATATATATATATATATATATATATATATATATATATATATATATATATATATATATATATATATATATATATATATATATATATATATATATATATACATTTCAGTATATATGATCTTTGACTTTTTTCATCCAGCTTCCAAAACCTCTGCCTTGTAACGGTAAATAATATATAAATATATGAATATATAAATTTATAAATATATAAGTATTTAAATATCAACGCAATTTAATAACTTTATTATTTATTTATTATTTTTTATTTTTTATTAGAATCAATTTATTATCGTTTATAAACTATTTTTAGTTTTATTAACAGCTTCAGTACACGAAAAATGTCTGCAGAATATTAATGATTAATCATTCCTTTACTATATACAGCGTAGTAGATTTTCAAAGTGTGGTGTCTGTGTCCTGTTAAAAGAGCACTTAATGAAAACAACGGAAAAAGACAAACGGGCGAAATGGTTGGAACAAAAGAAACGTCATATCGATCAGCAGAGGTAAGCGGTTTTAATTATCATTATTCGTTCAAGTAATCATGATAGCAATTTTTCAATCATAGCAATATTTCAATTAGTTTTCTTCAAGAAACGACTTTAACTTCAGTAAACGATTCCGATGCAGCGAAGCTATTTCACGTTGGATCTTCATACATATACATGACCTAATAGTATGATAATAGTATTAAATCCCTGAGTGCAGATTACTTGACATCATTGACTTACCACGTTAGGAATGTGCAATCTGCGGCAATGGTATTTGGAGGTAAGCTCCCCAATCCGGCATAGCATGGGGGATTCCCCCATGGGGGATTCTACACCCTTGGTGCTTATGTTCTCAGATTTGGGAGAGGCAGTACCCCAAAAATGGCGAAATAATTATATATATTTTTTTAATAGGGAGGAGAGAAAGAAATATTATGCCCACATTAAGAAGAGCGTCTCTAAACCTCATAAATATTTGAGTCTGATTATTGATGGAATGGACCAAGGAAAATCTCATTTACCCCATTTTGTTCAAAAATCGAAGGTTTATAACGCATTATTATCTAATAATACTATACTATATACTATATACTATATACTACATAGGCCTACTATATACTACATACTACATACTATATATATTTAGTATATAAGATAATCATAAAGTTAAACTTTTTTCAGGTTGAGAAAGGAAACACTGGGTTTTTTCCAACTCATATTACGGGTGTTATTGCACATGGACAAGATTTGAAAATGTGCTTTATCGACCAACTGAAGTGGCCTGCTGATGCCAATGTAACGATTAACATATTGGTTACAGTGTTAAAGTTCATCAAAGACAAGGTTGTTGTATATAGTATAGTGATTAGTGTAAACATGAATAAAGCAAAAAATCGTACTTCTTTTGTAATTATAATTCTTAAATTTTCATTTATAGTTCGGATTATCTCCTCCAATATTATATTTGCAAATGGATAACTGCTTCCGGGATTGCAAGAATTTGTACATTTTTGGATTCTGTGCTTATCTCGTAAAGATAGGCGTGTTTAAGAAGGTATCTCAATGTGCATTGGTGGTGTAGTTGATTTCCCCATAAGTTGGTGTTGGTGTACGTTGCGCATGCCATACTATGTACTTATTGTTTAGTTTCACTAAAATAAGAAGCTTATAGGAATATATTATTTAGCTATTTATAATGGATTTCAAATAACTGTCTTTATAGATAAGATTATCCTACTTAATGGTGGGCCATACTCACGAAGACGTGGATGAGGTATAAGAGCGGGATCATCTATAGGAAGTTTGAGATATTTTATAAATCCCCTCGTTTTCATTATTTTACTATAAGTATAATATAATACATCAAATAAAATAAAATAAAATAAAGTATTTTTTTATTGGGGATATATGAATATTAATAAATATGTTGAAAATTTCAGATGTTCAGTAGAATATCTGCTGCGTTATCAAAAAGATCTGCCACAACCATACCTGCACTCCACACAGTCATACACAACGCCTTTACCCCGGAACCAATAACTGCAGACTTGAACAACTTGTTGGACATCAAATCCTGGTTATCGCCACATATAAAGGGTTTAAAAAACCATTCCTGGCCACATGCGTTTCGGTTTGTAAAAGGCAAAGACGGGAACGTGGAGATGACATATAGAAACTGGTCGACATCAGGCAAGAAGGTATGGATGCCCAAAAAAGCACCGTTAAAGATCTTGAAGAAGGAACCGAAAGGAACACCACCTGTGCTGCAGCCAGAATACAGAAAATGCCCAACAGTGGCAGACCTAACGCGTGGCTTAGAACAGACAAAGGCTCGATTTAGGCCAGACGAGGTAGACTGGTGGAACAAGTACATTGAACAGGAGGAAGTAGAGCGACAGCGATGGGTAACCTTGTCAAAGGAAGGAAAGAGATATGTTAGTGATTGCCCAGTTATAAGCCACAAATACGTGGAAGTTAAGGAGGTTCAGGAAGATGATGAAGAGTCGAAGAAACGTATTGAAGAGATAGAGAAACTGCTTGAGAAAACTAACAACTTTCCAGAAGTAAGTATTTTGGATGATATAACAAAGTTTGAATGCCTTCGTTAACGTCAAAACATGCACTACGTGTGCACATTCCTAACATTCAAAATGAATTAAAAGGAAACTTGCGCGACTTGCGAACCATTTTCCGAAAAAGGCAAATTATAGGAAACGCGAAGATGAGCTACAGAACCTGACGCTGAGAATACAAAACATACTCCTAATAAAAGTAACTTACACGTGCTTGTAATTTGAGTTATCAATTTAAGATTAGCGTCCAAGCTAATCTTAATACATGGGTAGCTTACATGCCAAATCGTTTTACTGCTTTTACATATACTGGTTTTGTTTTATAGGTAAAAGAAGTTAGTAGACGATAGAAGAAGATAAAACCGCACACCCAAAGCAAAGCAGAATAAACGGAATTTAAAGTAATTATATTTAACAAATATTAAACATTTTCCGCGTTGATATATACAGTTATATCAATATACAAGTGGGATTTGGGAAAACGATTTTCCCAATTTCCACGAGTGTTGATATAACTGTATATATCAGTACGGAAAAATGTTTTATATATTTTTTTATAATATAGCACAACGAAATATAACTGAGAAAGAAATTTTCCTTGTTAGACACTGAGTTTATCAACACGGCTCTTAGCCAATCAGCGTACATAGCATTTGTAATGCTATATTATAAATAATCTACAATGTCATGTATGTATTTTAGGTAGGCCGTAGAGTTTGTCTTGCTCAAGTTGTTTCTTTTAATTTTCATGCAGGGGCCGGTTGTATAAAACTCTTAATCACTTTTTAATCACTATTTTGTAGTTAAATAGTGATTAACTCTCAAATACGCGCTTCTTATTGGATGAGGTTTCCACTAACTATAGTTAACTTTAATCACTTTTTTATACAACCGGGCCCAGAAAATAAAGTGCATTGCAATCTGTCATGATATATAATATATACTTCTGCCTACCTAAAGTCGGTTTTCCACCAGGCGGAATTTTGTGCGCGGAGCGGAATTTTTCTTTGTCTTTTCTAATTAGTTCCACCCGAGAAATCACAAGACAAAGAAAAATTCCGCTCCGCACACATATTAACTACAATAATTTATTTATTAACTACATTATGTAGGTCATCCATTGTAAATAATTTTGTGTATAAATTGCACATATATTCACCATACCTTTTGTATATACCAAATATGATGTATAAAAATATTAAAATATAACAAAAATGCACGAGACATATAGTAATTATTTTGATCAGACACATGCAGTTACTATCATTACATCAACTAGACTGTTTTGTATTGACGCATGATATGATAATAACTGACTACTTCTTCCACAAAGCTCCAAACAAGTTTCACTAGAATTTCCTTCGCGCTCAATCCCTAGGCCTAGCGCCCCGACACAACGTCTCTCAATGTCTGGACATCGTCTGGAACTTGTGGCATGTCAGAGCTTTATATGCTGGCATTCCAAAATGTACAAATAGACGAGATTTGTTTTATGACTTTTATGAAACGACGCCAAGCTTCAAATATTGCGCGCATGATTAAATTGGTATGTCTTATTGGTAAAATCAGCAACGACATATAGATCTGGTCAATATCTGTTTCATGAAAGCCTTTCCAAGCTTGACCAATAGAGTAATAGAGTAACGTCTTAAAGAAAACATTTCCGAAACCGGCGAATAAAACAACGCATTAAAGAAAACCTTTCCACAATGAACCAATACGTTGGAACGTGAAAGAAAACTTTCCAAAAATTAGCAAATAGCAAAGCGTTTTCAAGCTAATATATCTATAGATGCTGTTTTTCTGATTTCAACTTTCTGAACGACGCATTGCAAGTATTAGCGTCAATGCGGACAGTGAGTACTTTATAATGAAAATGTACACCATATGTTATATAACCAGCAGTTTAAAAGCTCAGATAGAAAGGACAGAAACCGTCGAAACAATACGACGTTATAAGGCGGCAGACTATTGCAGCGATGCCACCGTTTACTGACGCATCACGATGCATATACCGCAAGATATAAATACGTAATATCGGCAGGAACGTGTTCTCGTATGCAGAATTGGAAATATAAAATACTCAACGACTCACAATGAGACTGGTGGAATTTCGTACAGGTACATCGTTTACTCTTTCTCTATTATTGTATATTTAAGATTTAGCACTTCACAAAGCAGTATCTAACATAATTAGGTAAAGGTATTTTTCTTTCCCACCATGAACGAGATGGCGCGAATGTCGAAGACAATTACTGTGATTATTGAATATATTGCGTATAGCTATATAGTGCCATACGTAATACATTCATTCAAAGTTAGTTTAGTTTCACTACGAATTAAATAGTACAAGGCTATGCCAACCATGGTGTGTCTATATAATAACTATATTATCCTAGTATTCATGAAGTGTGCTTAACATTATTTGCGGCGATTCGAAATATGATACGGCATGTTAAATACAGCGCATACCGTGATATGCAAAACATTCACTGGATGAATAAACCTCTTTTATATATCT